TCCAGTGCTCTGGATTACCAGGCTTGAGCCACCGCGCCCGGGCCTTCCATTTTTCTTTTAATGATAAAGAAACTCAGTGGTTGTCTGAATTTTTCCTGTTATAAAAGTTTTTTTTTTTTTTTTTTTTTTGCGAGACGGAGGTCTCGGGCGGCTGTCCCCCGCAACAGGCTGGAAGTGCAGTCGGCCGGACGCTCAGCTCCACTGCAGCTCCGCCTCCCGAGCGTTCCCCCGCCATTCTCCTGCCTCAGCCTCAGTAGGCTGGGAACCACAGGTGCCGCCAAACCTCGCCCGGGCTAGTTTTTTGTATTTTCTTTAGTAGAGAACGGGGTATGTCCAACCGTGTTAGCCAGGATTGGTTCGATCCTCCTGACCTCGGGTGATCCGCCCGTCTCGGCCTCCCAAAGTGCTGGGATTACAGGTTTGAGCCACCGCGCCCGGCCTAAAGTTTTAAAAAGTTAATTATTAGGACTTCTTTTTAAAGGAGTAAGCAATGGAAGGATCAAACATTTATTAAATATATTCAGCAAATATATAAATGTATTCAGCAAGGAAGAGAATGGGATTTACCTCAATCCTATTCATACTGCTTTGAGTTTATAAAAGTGGAGTTTTTTTATTTTTTGAGATGGAATCTTACTCTGTCACCCAGGCTGCAGTGCAGTGGCACGATCTCGGCTCACTGCAACTTCTGCCTCCCAGGGTCCTCCCCGGGTTCAAGCGATTCTTGTCCCTCAGCCTCCTGAGTAGGTGGGATTACAAGCTTGAGCCATCACGCCCAACTAATTTTTGTTTTTAGTAGAAATGAGGTTTCACCATGTTGGCCAGGCTGGTCTCCTACCCTCAGGAGATCTGCCCACTTCAGCCTCCCAAAGTGCTGGGATTACAGGTGTGAGCCACTGTGCCTGCCCTAAAAGTGGAGTCTTTTTTTTTTTGGAGACAGTCTTCCTGTGTTGCCCAGGCTGGGGTGCAGTAGTGATCCTTGGCTCACTGCAGCCTCTGCCACCTGGGTTCAAGCGATTCTCCTGTCTCAGCCACCCAAGTAGCTGGGATTAGAGGCACGTGCCACCACGCCCAGCTAATTTTTGTATTTTTAGTAGAGACGAGGTTTCACCATGTTGGCCAGACTGGTCTCAAACGCCTGACCTCAGGTGATCCGCCCGCCTCTGACTCCCAAAGTGCTGGGATTACAGGCACGAGCCACGGAGCCCGGCCTAGAAGTGAGGTCTTAGAAGGAGTGGCCGTGTAAATTTCTAGTGAGTAGAAGAGGGAAGGGAGGACATAACCTTTGCATGGTATAGTGTAGCGCAGAGCTGGAAAGATTTAAGATTTTAGTGAAACTTTTTGAATGAGTTAACTTTCAGTCTGTAAAATAAACAGGAAGAAGCTGGGAAGTACACTGTATCAATTGCTTACACTGAATAACCTGCGCTGCCTGTTTTTTCAGCTTCTGCTCCCAGACCACAGACCAGTGATGGAAGAAGTTACAGATCCCTATAAACCACTTTGCTCCTGGCCTTTGTGCCACTATCTTTCATCATTTCTTTTATTCATCAGTAGACTCTTTGGTGAACTCCCCACAAAGACTCCATTTCCATTTCCGGTATCTCTTTCTCATAAGACGCTGTCACCTACTTTGTGGAGATGATGGAGGGAGTAGGGTAAGAATTCCTTCATAGTCTACCCTTACTTTGCAGCTGAAGCCTCAAATCCTTAGAAGTTGCAACGTTAACTGCTTCTCTATCTTGCCTCCCATCCTTCCTTTACCTAGAACTTGTTCTCATATAATAGTATATATAACATCTTCAGTTTCCCCCGTATGCGCAGGTGTTTCTTTTGGCTTTTAAATATCTACATTTCTTTTTTCTTTTTCTTCTTTGAGACAGAGTCTTGCTGTGTTGCCCAGGCTGGAGTGCAGTGGTGTGATCTCGGCTCACTGCAGTCTCCGCCTCCCGGGTTCAAGCACTTGTGCCTCAGCCTCCCGAGTAACTGGGGTTACAGGTGCCCGCCACCACGCCCAGCTAACTTTTATATTTTTAATAAAGACAGGGATCTACTGATTTAGGAACCCTGTTTTCCTTAAAAATTGTAATTTTTTTTTTTCCAAGATGGAGTTTCCCTCTTGTTGCCCAGCTGAGTGCAATGGCACAATCCCGCCTCACCACAACCTCTGCCTCCTGGGTTCAAGTAATTCTCCTGCCTCAGCCTCACGAGTAGCTGGGACTACAGGCGCCCGCTACCACACCTGGCTAATTTTGTATTTTTACTAGAGAGGGGGTTTCTCCATGTTGGTCAGGCTGGTCTCGAACTCCCAACCTCTGGTGATCCATCTACCTCGGCCTCCCAAAGTACTAGGATTACAGGTGTGAGCCACCACACCTGACCCAAAAATTGTAATTCTTTTTTCTTTCCTCACAACCTCTCCTGTGTGTGTACGTAATCTATCTTTAGTTTCTACTGCTTTCCACTCTTTTACTATTTTTTAAAATTATTTTTCATTTTTAGAGATGGGATGTCATTCTCTCCTAGGCTAGAATGCAGTGACACAATCATAACTTGCTGCAGCCTCAACTCCTGGCCTCAAGCAAACCTGCCTCACCGTCCCAAGTAGCTGGGACTACAGTCAGGCACCACCACGCCCAGCTAATTTTTTAAAAAAATTTTAGAGACTGGGGGTGGGAGGTGGGGTGCCCTCACTGTGTTGCTCAGGCCTCTTGAACTCCTGGCCTCAAGCAATCCTCCCACCTTAGCCTCCCAAGTAGCTGGGATTATAGGCACAAGCAAGGGTTGACTAATTTTTTAACTCCTAAAAATATACTCAGTCCTAGGATAGCATAGAGTTTACTATATTAAGGACCTTAAAATCTTGTTGAATATTCAAACATTAATCTATAAGCTTGGTCAGTTCAGGGCTAGCATAGTATGTTGCTATTACAATGGATGTGTTCATACATGTAGATAGGAGGAATGAGGCCTATTACAGAGAACTTGACAGAATTTAGTGTAGATGTAGAAGGTAATAAGCAATCGGATGACAATAGTGCATTTGAAAAGGTACATCTGGCAACTAATTCTACAGCATTGTAGCGTTACTATGGAATATGTGAATAGACAAATTAGTCATTGTAGTTGAAATCTCCCTAAAAACATAAATTAAAAACTGCCCTTAAATAGCTTAATATCTTCCGAATAACAATTTTAGGAAGCCCAGGATAACAAAAACCTATATATGCATCGGATAAATATTATTTGCTGGGGATGACAAATACGTCACCCACCATTGTGACCCATGCTCATAACATATTGATTATGCATCATGGAACTTGTTGCTGAAGTAACTAGAATGTGTTGAGAGTTTATAGAACAGCTCTCTGGGCAGCTGTTTTAACTAATCAACTTTGGCACTAGGATTAAACATTTTTATACCTTCTAGCATTTAGCAATTCATGCCAATTGAGGTGTCATTGAAGAGTTGGGGCTTGAATGAGAGGATCTCTCATCCTTATTTTTCTTTTGCTCTCTGACCCGAACTTTCTGATCTGTGGTCTTTATATCCTCCACATGTTACCAGTATAAGTCGTATCTGGATGCGTTCATGCTGATCCATCTTCCAGTCTCACCTTCCAGTTTGTCCTACTTCATAATCCTTCAGGTTTAATTCAAAATTTATCCATGATACAGTTTTCTCTGAACTCGTAAGTAAGCCCCATCACTTTTAGCCCTTTTTAAGGCTCATTCTCTAATTGGCCTGTCTGGGTTCCATAATTAGATTGCGATCTTCCAGGAAAAAGATTGTATCTGACAGCCTCTTCTATTTCCATAGTAAATACTAGCTGATTGACTGTTGGTAAAGTTTACGTCATATAGCAGAAATGGCTTCTTCAGTGAAACAGACTGAAGAATGTGCTAGAGACTGGTTGCAATATAAGTGAGGTCTAATTGGTTTTAAATGAAGCATTTTCCATTCTTTCATTACTTGAGTGGTTTCAATTTAGAATCTCTCTTCGGTTCTACCTTTAATTCCCACATTTAGATTATGGTCAGATCATTTTCTGTTCTTCAGTTTTGGCTCCAGACCAACATTTTAGATTTTAATACTATTCTAATCTTGCTTTATCCAACAACAATAAAATCTTGCCAAAAGGACAAGTACTATTGAGGATATTTCTTGTATTTTCATTAAGAAGAGCTATTTTATAAAAGGGATGGATGATATAAAGTATTTATATAACGTTTTTAATGAGAATTTTGAGCCCAATTAGCACATGTTTGTTTTCTCTCCAGCAACCATAGCTAAGTCCATCAAATCTCGACTTAGATCATCTGGTAATACAATGAAGTTGGGAAACGGTTTAGGTCGTATCTCAGAGGGTCCTCTCCTCTCACCATCCAAGTTTCTGCAGCAACAGTGTTAAGAAAGGATCCTGGCTGGGCGCGGTGGCTCACGCCTGTAATCCCAGCACTTTGGGAGGCAGAGGCGAGCGGATCACGAGGTCAGAAGATCGAGACCAGCCTGGCCAACATGATGAAACCCCCGTCTCTACTAAAAATACAAAAACTAGCCGGGCGAGGTGGCGGCGCCTGTAGTCCCAGCTACTCGGGAGGCTGAGGCAGGAGAATCGCTTGAACCCGGGGAGCGGAGGTTGCAGTGAGCCGAGATCACGCCACTGCACTCCAGCCTGGGCGACAGAGCGAGACTCCGTCTCAAAAAAAAAAAAAAAGCTTAATTTAATGCTTAGTCTAATCCTCCACTACTGAGGGAGCAAGGCGGAGAAGTTTTGATGCGGAGCGTTGTCTGGAAGATGTTCTTGTAGAGGTATTTCAGAAATGCCTCTGGGAGGGTAGAGTAGGGGCTGCTCCGGATTTGTGAGTCCGTTTTAATTCCCCTTGAAAAGCTCGCCATGTGGGCGGGGGCAATGCGCCGGGGGGCACCGCGGTGCTGCCCGTCACGGGAACCGGCGGGGTCCGGGAGCCCCTTTCTCCGCCCACCCAGCGGTCCGGCCGCGCATGCGCCGAGCTGAGGGCCCAGTGTTGTCGGCTGGGAAATGGCGGCCGCGGGCTTGGTCGCGGTGGCCGCGGCGGCCGAGTACTCTGGCACCGTAGCGTCGGGAGGCAACCTCCCCGGTGTTCACTGCGGCCCAAGCTCCGGGGCAGGCCCCGGTTCTGGCCCGGGCTCGTGGAGCCGCTCTCTCGATCGAGCCCTGGAGGAGGCGGCGGTCACCGGGGTGCTGAGCCTGAGCGGCCGGAAACTGAGGGAGTTTCCCCGGGGAGCGGCCAACCACGACCTGACGGACACCACCCGGGCGGGTGAGCGGGGCGGGGGCGCCTCTGCCCGCGGGAGACCGGGCGCCGGGAGCCGCCCCGGCCGGGGGAGGCGGGTGCGGGGAGTTACGGGAGCTCGTCCTGTAGGCGCCGGGTCCGGACCCGGGTAACGGGGAGAAGCCGACGGCCCAGCCCTCCGGGCCTGCGCCAGCCCCGAGCCTGGGGAGAGGCGGCGGGCGGCGGCATCTCGGGGAAGGGCGCCGGAGTGATTGATGGATGGTTTCTTAGTCTTTCTGAGGAAACCCAACTTCTGCCGCGGCGGAGGGTGGACGCGTGCCCCGCCCCGGTTCCTGCAGGCCCTTTCGGATTCGGGGTGCCGGATGGAGCTGCTCAGAGATCCGAGCAGCAGGGCTGCCTCCGGGCGGGCTGCATTGTCCGGGGAGGGTCGGTCTCAGCCCTGGCGGTTTTCCCAAAGAAGTGTTGGGGTGAGTGTGTGTTTGAACCCGAAAGAAGTGTTGGGGTGTGTGTGTGTTTGAACCCGAAAGAAGTGTTGGGGTGTGTTTGAACCCGAAAGAAGTTTTGGGGTGTGTGTGTGTTTGAACCCGAAAGAAGTGTTGCGGGGGTGTGTTTAAAGCGAACCCGAACGCTGGAACTTTTCTTCGCCTCCATCTAATTGACTTACAAAATAAATATACTTGTAAAAATAGCCAGAACCCACCTTCCGACTCCCTTTAGTTTCCTCTCCCACTCCTCATGTCCTCCAAAATAAAAGTTGAAGAAAGCTCCTTAGAAAAGATAGTCTAACATATCTATACTTGCTATTCCTTTTTAAAGCATTACTTCGTGTTATGTATGTTTTCGAAAACAGGAAAGAGGATAAGAAAGTAGGTATTATTTGGCTTTCCTAGTTGTAGGGAACAGTGTCTGGTGCCTGAGTTGTTGTTCATCATGTTTGCAGTGAGGGTCATCACTGCTCACCGCAGCCTCCACCTCAGCCTCCCGAGTAGCTGGGACTACAGGCACGCGCCACCACGCCCAAGTGCTAATTTGTATGTATGATGTACTCGTGTTATGTATCATATCATATCTGTAATATTATATGTGTGGTTTTGTTTTTTTTTTTTTTTTTTTGAGCACGGTATCTTGCTCTTGTGGCCCAGGCTGGAGTGGAATGACACAATCTCCGCTCATTTGCAACCTCTGCCTCCCGGCTCAGGTTGATCCTCCCCAGCCTCACTCCCCGGGGAGTAGCTGGGACTCACAGGCGCCCGCCACCTATACCGGCTGATTTTTGGAATTTTTTAGTAAGACAGGATTTCACCCATGTGGCCACGCTGGTCGCTCTCGAACCTCCTGACCTCAGGTGATTCTCGGCCTGACCTCGGCCTTCCCAAAAAGTGTGGATTACAGGCGGTGAGTGTACCGCGTCAGTCAATGGTTGTTTTTTTTTTTTTTTTTTTGGTTGGAGATGGGGATTCGCTGTGTTGCCCAGGCTGGTCTCCAACTCCTGGGCTCAAGCTATCCTCTGGCCTCAACCTCACAAAAGGCTGGGATTACAGGCGTGAGCCACTGTGGCTGGCAATACTTGGTGTCTTATTTTATTTTAAAATCTTAGATTGAGCACGTTTTCTATGCTTTGCAGCCGTTAAAAGTTGATAAGTATTACATATGATTCACTCATTTTGGAAAAATAAACAGAACTGTTAAACTAAATCAAGAAGCTGTTTTTTCCAAAGAAACTTTTGCTATAGTTTAAAATAGAAGAAATTAAATGCCTGCTTATTTGATCTCTTTTTGGAAACAGTTGAACTGAATATTTTTTAGTGAATTACATTAAAGTTTCTTGCTAAGGCAAATATGAGCAGCCACTTGCCTTTTGTGTGTGTTCTGGTAGACAGCATCTAAAATTATCGTTCATACCCCAGATTTCCTGCTTCTGTTTAGGAGATGGCTATATGGTATAGTGATTTCATATTGGTGCGAGTCATTTCAGTGTTACTACATCAAGCCTGAAGCTAAAGAACAAGTTGATTACAGGAGTCTATCTAGCTCATTATCTCACCTACTTTTCAGTAGTTCTAGGAGCAACGTGTTGAGTCCTTAAGAAGTATTTTATTGACTAAGAAAATCCAAGTGCATTTATGGAGAATAATAAGTAATACCAAAGAGGTTTTTCGTTACTGTGCCCTGAGATTTTAAGTATGGCGTTGCCCACACTTTAATAGTTTTCTATAGAAACCACATTTTTTAGTTGACTTTTTATCTGGTCAAAAAGTGCAAAAAAGAAAAAGATTACAAGGTATTTTATAACCTATTAGACTAGATTCATTTCTAACATGTAGTAATTGCTTATGAAATATAAAAAATATTTGGCAGACCTTGGTCATTACCCAGTCTCTGAATTGTTTTAAACATAATGCTGATGACGTCATTTATTGAGTATTCACTATTTGTGATTCATTGTGTTAGATATTTTGAAATATATTGCCTTGTTAAAGGCACACAACAATTTGTGGATTAAATATTATCCCCACTTTACATGTGAGGGATCACCTAGAGAAAGTCATATGGCTATTACCACTACACGGTATCAGTGGTAGAATTTTGCCCCAGGTTGTAGCTATTATCACTCTACGGTATCAGTGGTAGAATTTTGGCCCGGATTATAGCTATTATCACTATATAGTATCTGTGGTAGAATTTTGGCCCAGGTTATAGCTATTACCACTGCACGGTATCAGTGGTAGAATTTTGGCCCAGGTTGTAGCTGTTATCACTCTACGGTATCAGTGGTAGAATTTTGGCCCGGATTATAGCTATTATCACTATATAGTATCAGTGGCAGAATTTTGGCCCGGATTATAGCTATTATCACTATATAGTATCAGTGGTAGAATTTTGGCCCGGATTATAGCTGTTATCACTCTACGGTATCAGTGGTAGAATTTTGGCCCGGATTATAGCTATTATCACTATATAGTATCAGTGGCAGAATTTTGGCCCCGGTTCGTCTAACTCTGTTCTTTCCACTGTACCGTGCAGCCTCTTCATGTAGAAATAGGTATTGCTGTTCCTGTTTTTACAGATGGTGGAAACCAGCATTTAGAGATATTCAATAATTTGCTCAAAGATCTGTGGCTAAAGGACAGAGGAGGGGGTATTAGCCATGATTTTACTCTAGTTTGAGGTGACTCCAAAAGCCATAGTCTGTTTTTATGGCAGGTACTTTGATTAATTCGGGACCAACTTATGGTAGTTATTAGGTAGCTTAGACCTTATAGAAAATTTAAAGCCAAGTAAAATTAGTTGAATGCTAATATATAAAAGTTGCCTCACGTACTGTTCCCTCATAATGTATAGCGGGTACATGGTAGAGCTGTTGTCCTTCGAATTCATATCCTAGGGAACAGCATATATAACCCATATTTATAATTAGACATGATTTTGAATTTATTGGGAACGTTTTCTTGAGACTTTCTGTGCTGTTTATTTTAAAAGGTTAATCTGGCCGGGTCCGGTGGCTCTCGCCTATAATCCCAGCACTTTGGGAGGCCAAGGCGGGCGGATCACCTGAGATCGGAAGTTCCAGACCAGTCTGGCCAACATGGTGAAACCCGGTCTCTACTAAAAATACAAAAATTAGCCAGGTATGATGGCGGGTGCTTGTAATCCCAGCTGCGTGAGAGGCACAAGACTCACTTGAACCCAGGAGGCGGAGGTTGCAGTGAGCTGAGATTGTGCCACTGTGCTCCAGCCTGGGCGACAGAGTAAGTGCTATCTCAAAAAAAAAAAAAGAAAAATGAAAAAGGTTAATCTTTTGGAAAAGGGCAATATTTATTTGGGAATGGGTGACTTGATACAGTGGACAAGAAATCACAGAAGACTTCTTGAAGCAGAAAGGATATAACTTGGATTTGGGCAAGCAGAAACAAGAAGGAAAGCCATTGTAGGCAGTGGTGGACAGCATGCAAAAAATGTCAGAGTATAAGGGACATCAGTTAATTTTGCCAGGCCATCATTCTATCCCTTCTGGTAACAGGACTCCCATTTTCCCAGGGAACCACCCTCTCAGTTAAGTGAACGCCACCCTGACATATGGTATGCCAGTGACTCAGGCCCAGCTCATGGTCAGTCAGTCTACAGTCCATTGCTCTGGCCGTAGTGATTGTTCAAAAGTGGGCACATTTTGCAATGAGCACAGATAAGTAACTGAATTTTTTGTTGAACTGTTAAGAGGCATGCTTTGAGTCCTGGGGTTGCTGAGAGAATAGGATGTGAGCCTGGAAGTTACCAATAAGTGGAAAGCAGAGCCAAAAGATGGAGACAGTGAGACCAAGTTCTGTTGGCAGTGTTTGTACCTTTGGGTGAGCCGCCACGCTTAAAGTCAGTGCTATCTCTGTACTTTCAGATTATGTGAGCTAGTAAATTCTCCTTTCTGCTTAAGGTGAGTAAAAAAATTTTTTTTGTTTTTGAGACGGAGTCTTGCTCTGTCGCCCAGGCTGGGGTGCAGTGGCGTGATCTCGGCTCACTGCAAATTCTGCCTCCCAGGTTCAAGCGATTCTCCTGCCTCCGCCTCCTGAGTAGCTGGGATTACAGGCACCCGCCACCACGCCTGGCTAATTTTTATATATATAGTAGAGACAGGGTTTCACCATATTGGCCAGGCTGGTCTCGATCTCCTGACCCTGTGATCCGCCCGCCTCGGCCTCCCAAAGTGCTGGGATTATAGACGTGAGCCACCGCACCCGGCCAGAATTTTTTGATGATAAAAAGGTCCTGACTAATACAGTGAAACCGCTCATGATGATACTGTGATGAGACCAATGTGGTCAAAATAAATTATTGGATTAGCGAATATAAGAGCTGCCTTTCACATATGAGGAAGCTAGATAGCCGATAGGTTTAGAGACAGGTCAGCATTCATTCAACAGACATTTCTTGACTAAAGGATTTTGGCAGTTATCAGTGTACAAAGAGGACCAAGACATCCCCTGCCCTGAAAGTACTCAAGGGATCTAATGGGGAGGCAGACAGGTGGAAGGATT